AGCCGACTGCACACCTTCAGACACGCCGCTGAACCAAAGCTTCAGGACGTTCAGCAGGGATACAGGGGGACGGACGGTTCCAGAAAGCTGCCCGATTGTTGATTTTTGTAAGATCCCATCCGGCATGCACACCAGCAAATAATTTTATTTTTTTAGTTTTGATTAGTTAGTTTCTACGGACTTTGCTAACAACTAACAAACTACTGAAGATAAAGTAGGAGATATTATTGGCTGCATAGCAATCTGTTTCAGACAAGTCAAGTAGGAATATAATTGTTTGTAGGAATCTGCCGCACTTTGTTTCATGCCGTTCGCGGTTGAAACAATTTTTTTTAATTTCGTAAATATTTTTCCTGGAAAGATCACGCTCAAATCTACAGATGATCCAATTTTCAGAGATTTTCTGAGTCATTGTTCTGAGCGCAAAATATCACAGAAGTTGGGGTACTTTTTCCGTTCGCCCACCTGTGGTAGAGTGGCAAAAATGGAAAATGCAATGAACAGGCACGACACTTATTTTGTGGTCTAAACTATTTTTAGCTTTTTTTCCTGATATTTTTCCTGAATAGATCATAATGTAATCTACAGGATCTCAAATTTTCATATCTTTTGTCAGTTCTCCTGAGCGTGAAAAATCACTTAAGTTGGCACTTGAAAATTGCTAGACTGGACCCGCCTGAACCTGCCGATCACCGCCCCGCATAATGGCCCGGAAAACCGAATTTCCGACATCGGGGATAGTGGGTGGTTTAAGCCAGACTTGTCACCAGTCCATAGAGTGGACAGAAAATAAGCCACCAGCACAAAAAAAATAGCAAAGAAATGGATCAAACGGACCCAAAACCCCAAGGCAACAGTCTCTCTTTTCAGTTTTTCAGGATGTCCAGGATTTTCAGGGCTGGCCAAAACAGTCGTCTCCTTTTTTTTTTTCTTTTTTCTTTTTTTGGTGTAAGAGCCTCGTTGACGGCTTGAGGTGCTGGCAGGAGCAGACACATTAGGCTGGCCTTGGGGAGGCTCCACCTATTGGTGGGGAGCTGCACCTGCTGGGAAGCAGTGAATGGTGAGGCTCTCATTCAGCTCACTGAAATGGTGCAGGGGGTCTTGCCCTACCTGTCAGTATGAGCACAGAAATAGCCTTTTTACTAAGTTTTTAGTCCGCGGTTCTTTCTCTTCTCAGTAGTCTTTTCACATGTCCTTCCATGGCTCCTGGGCCTGCGACTGAATCGCGTCCTCCATCACCTGTTGCGCTTGTTGGAAACCGAATTGGTGGTCCTTCCTCTCATCGGAACATTGGGCCCGCCAGGCCAGCATAAGGACTTGCAGCCGCGTGTAAGAGAAGAGGTTGACTGCAAACGGGGACCAATGGGCCAACAAGTGTCGGTTTTTGCCCAGCAACGGCAGGCCCAGGTCCCGGAGGATATGGACAGAAGGTTGCGTCCCACCATTGCCACAGCTGGGGGCCAGCATCGGGCATGTGAGGAGACTGCTCCAGTGTAGCACGGTTAGGCGGCGTCAACCGGCCACGGTACGAGTATATGGGGGAGAGTTGCCCTCGCTGCTCCATGTCAGTTCTGCTGGCCTATGTATCACCCGCGGTCGTGGCCGCGAGATCCACCTCGGAGGGCGGCCGTGTTCACAGCCGCGGCCGGCAACAGCCGCGGCCGGCAACAGCCGCACAGCGACCACAAATTTCACCGATTATTCCCGACCAAAATATTGGTGGGGGAAAATGGGGTTGTGGGGTTCTTCAAACCCTGCCCCCCCATATATATATTTTTGGAAACAAATAATTTAAGCAGATAATTAAAAAAAAACAACAACAACAGAAAAGGCGGAGAAGCGGGAAAAAAAAAAATCCTTTCTTTTTATTTTTGGTTGGCAGTTCTTTGTCTTCTTCCATTTGATGTATTTTTCGTTTTTCTTTTGGTTGTGTTTTGTCTGAAGAAAAAAATCAAGGAATGAAAAAAAAAAAAAAACAGTCATGTTGTTCTCACCAGGGCCGGTTAGTATGTGTGTGTGAATGTGTGTGTGCGTGTGTGTGTGTGTGTGTGTGTGTTTGTGTGTGTGACAGTGTGTGTGTGTGTGTGTGTGTGTGTGTGTGTGTGTGTGTGTGTGTGTGTGTGTGTGTG